TGTCGTTCACCGCTGTGTTGAACTCTTTCCTTATGTACTGACTGCTCATTGTGTGTTTGCAAACGAAAGATTCGATGCAAAGCTCAGCCTGATTTGGTGATTCGTTAAAGTAATGCGATCGACCTGTACTGTACATACGAATAAAACAGTCATTATGCATGCAATAGCATCACTTGTTCCAACATGACAATGTAGAAATTTGACGAGGGAATCAGCGTTTGATCAGTGAGTAACACCACGAAAGGTGAATGAATCAATCACCTGTTCAGCCATATCAAAGCAACCATTAGCACATTTGACGATATCGTGTTCAATCTCTGTGATACACGTTGCTTCCTCTTCGCATGAACACTGCCGTACTGTTGTTCCATCACGCGATTTCGCCAAAATTTCACGTCCACTGGCACTTATCTAAACTACTGGAGATCCTATTAATTCAGATAAAAAGCAACACGTCAAACGACGCTCTCCAAAGCAACAAATTTGATCCTCTCAGTTATAATGTTATAATTTAGGCATATTTGTAAGAAGCACGGACGGTTAGCGATAAACGTTCAAGAAAACCGATTTTAACGTCGAAACGTCGCATCTCCGTCAACGATGATTTTTCGTGAAATATTCAAAGTGAAGGCTCAAGGTAAGCTGAAGAGATAAGGCGAACCTGATCGATAATTTTATTCGAGTGAACCAGAAGAATAACGTTGATAAGGTAGCAAAGAGAGATGAAAATGGAATGCGACGACATGATCCTTCGGAAATACTTCTATGAGAACAGTATTCAAGATCGTTATGCTCTTGCACTGTTCACCGATGGAATTTGCTCAAAGAACCGGTCATAATGATCGTATCGCCTCAATAATTGCAAAATGTTTCGGTGTTTACAAATCAAAATGGAAAACATCCTTCGCATTATAAGTGCAAATGAGCGCATACCCTTCAACTGCGCATGATCTTTCATTTTCACTTCAAAATAGTGGTTCAACTATTTTTCTGCTAATCATGAGCACTGCTGCATAGCTGAGTAACGTCATGCATCGAGGTCTTGAACCGTCTTCGATAGTTATACAGTTCGTATTTGTGTCATCCAATGCATGTTTACGCATTCATGATGTCGCGAGAGAGAGAATTAGCAAAAATAAGGAATTGAATAAGATGAGT